ACGGCGAGATCGCCCCGGGCCTGGGAGGCCAGCTCTGCCTGGGCGTCCTGTTGGCGCCACACTTCTGAGCCCTCCAGGCCGCATTCTGATTGTTTTGTGGATTCATTTCTGTCATGCCGAAAGTTCTAGGTGGCGGCAGGGCATGAGAGAGGCTCCTAGAACTTTCGCCGCCTGTTTGCTTTTCACTGTTCTCTCTCCCTTCAGAAAAACGAGAATCTTTTTCTTCTGTCAACCAGTGGGGAAGAAAATCAGCTGTTTCGGCCTGCTGCATTGGCTCCCACTGGACCAGGTTTGGATACCTGCAAAGGCGTCTCTTGGAGACAGATCAAGTGAGTTCCAGTTGGCCACGCCAGGAGCGAAAGTGCTAGAAAGTCCAGGTTCCTGAGGAAGCCCAGTGTACTTTAAGATTTCTCATCCAAACCTGTCCCCACTGCAGCCTGCAAAGAGAGAAAGCAAACGCTTCACATCCTCTTCCCTCCCGCTTCACAAATCTCTCTCTGGCCAGAGGGCCAGCATCTCTCCCAGGCCTGGCCCCCTGCTCGCATTCATGCCCTGAGGAACCGCCTTGACAGAGCAGTCCCGAGGGGCTGAAAAAATTAAACCGAATTCTAATAACCTCCTGCTTCAAAGTCTCCAGAGGCTGCCCAGTCACGGCAGCAGGAAACCTACCTCTCCACCACAGCTTAAGAGGCCGCCAGGACGTAGGCCCTGCCTGGCTCACCACTTCTCTCCTCCTGTGGGCCTCGCCACACTGACCTCACACCTGCCCAGTGTGTCTCGGCTCAGCACCCGTGTCCTCAATGGCCTCTGCTAGAGTGCTTCCGCTAGGTTTCTCTTCGCTTAGCTGATCTCGTGTGAGCGTTCCCCGCCCAGCTTCTTACCCCTCCAGCTCATACCAGGGCCTGTGTGTGTCTATTTTATTAGCAGTCATGCTGGAAAGTTTATTATTTGCTTGCCTATTATTATTTAACACTTTCTCTGTCAAATCTAAGTTCTGTGAATGTGGAGGCCTTGTTGCCATTCCTAGCGTCTAAAATAGCGCCTGGTATGTAGTAGACACTCAACAAGGACTTGTTACTACATGAAGGAAGTTCAGAAGGGTTGACTGCTTTCCTGTGATGGGGGAGAGGGGTGTCTCAGGTGGGTAGGGGGGCATTTAAGACTGAACATTCAGTAAGTGCAGTATTTACTGAATATTCTGCTAAGCACCAGTTACAACAGTGAACAACACGAGACCTGCCCGTGTGGGTCTTAGAATCCATGAATGACGCTAAAAGGATGCTGAGGAAGAGAACAATAGAGGGCACCCGTTTTAGAAAAGGTGCTCAAGAAAATCTTCTCTATAGAGGTGCCTTTTAGGTAGAGACCTGAAGGCCTTGTAGACCCGAAGGCCTCGTAGGAATGAGCTGGGATTTACGTGAACAGCAATGGGAAGTCCCTGGAGGAGATTCTGCATGGGAGTGACATGATCCAGTATATGTCTTAAGATTCCTCATGCAGTTGAGTGAGGGGCAGATTGAATGGGAGCATCTGTGAAAGAGAAGCGATGCCATTGCAACAGCTCACACTTGCTCCTGACCACCAAAACCGTGATGGCAGCAGAGAAAGAAAGGCGACACACTCCTAAGAGAGGTGACACACTCAAGATCTATTTTGGTGGATAAATCAGATAGGACCTCATAAAAACTGCTTTGGGGAGAAGAGGGAAGGGAAAGACTCAGAGCGACAGATAATTTTCTCACTTGATAGACTGGGATGACTTTGATGCCATGTACTATTACAGGTGCTAGCTTGTTTGATCATCTGAGTGGTAATCCAAGTTTATCTTTAAAAAAAAAAACCCAAGTTTAACTCTGGTACCACAGAAAGGGCCACAATAAAATAATCAAAACTGAAACATTTTGTTCCACTTTTTAAAAGTTAAACTTTTTGAGTATGTACCCTGTAGTCTTATTGCTGGGTCGAATGGTAGATCTATTTTTAGTTTTTTGAAAACTCTCTAAACTGCTTTCCACAGGGGTTGAACTAGCTTACATTCCCACTGATAGTCTATGAGCATTCTCCCTTTTCTTCCCATAGCCTTGCCAACATAAAAAAAAAATTTAATAGTAGTCATTCTGACTGGCATGGGATGGTATCTCATTGTAGTTTTGATTTGCATTTCCTGCACTCGTATATTTGTTGCAGCACTATTCATAATAGCAACAATGTGAAGCCCACCCTGGTGCCCATCAGTGGTGGACTGGATAAAGAAGATGTGTACATATATATATACTGTGGAATACTATGCAACCATAAAAAGGAATGAAACCCTGTCAGTCGAAGTAACCTGGATGCTGCTAGAGGCCATCATTCTGAGTGATCATAGAAGCAGAAAACTGAATACCACATGTTCTAACTGGTAAGTGGAAACTAAACTCTTAGCACACACCAGCATAGGGATGGTAGCAACAGACACTGGTGACTGCTGAAACAGGGAGAGAGGACAGGGGAATAAGGGTGGGAAAAGCACACGCTGGGTACCATGCTCACACTGGGGGATGGGTAATGTGTGGGCTCGTCAGAAGCCCAAATCTCACCATCATGCAATATACCTATATAACAGATCTCCACATGAACCCCTTGGATCTAAGAAGGTAAAATTAATGAAAAATTAAGCTCTTTGAGGTGATTATGGATTCATGTGCTTATGGATTCCTGATTCCAGGTGATTATGGATTCCTGAGAAATAACACAGAGAGCTTGTGTACCCTTTACCCAATTTCTTCCAATGGTAGCATCTTACAAGACTGTATTACAATACCACAACCAAGATATTAACCTCAGTCAAGATGCAGCACTTTCATATCACAAGGAACCCTCGTGTTTTCCTTTTACAGCCACATCGAATTTCTTCTTACCCTACTGACTCTTAAACCCTTGAAGTCCCTAATCTGTTCTTCATTTTAATAATTCTGCCATTTCAAGATTGCTACATAAATAGAATCATACAGTATGTGTATTAGGGTTCTCTGCAGAAATAAAACCAATAGAATGTGTGTATGTAGGAAAATATTTATTTTAAGGAATTGACTTGGGTAATGTGGAGGCTCGGTGAATCCAAAATCTGATGGGGAGGCTGGCAGGCTGGAGGTTCAAGAAAGACTTGCAGTTTGATTCTGAAGGCAGTCTGTTGGAAAACCAGGCAGAGCA